GGTATGCTAAAGAACACTACAGACCTCAAAGTTTCGGAAACTGGATCTGTTTATATCTTCAGGCGAAGGGATGGGAGACACTGTTGGGTACATAAGAAAGAGCTAAGCCCAGTCACTTGATGTTATCTTTCTGACGGTCCCAAAAGAGTAAGTGCCTCCCACATCCTCACATGAGAATGGAAGCTGATCCACTTTCCGAAACTTTTGAAGTTTTTACTGTTCTTTAGAATACCGGACGACGAACGAAGTCCAAAAGCCCAATAATCATGAAATTCTAGATTTATTTGAAGAAATTAATTAAAACATTATCCACGAGTCTTCTACTAATACGTCTCGAGCAAGCATAGCAATTATCCGATGGCATTAGAGCCCGAACTGGTTAGTGGGGCGGTTGGATGCACAGTCGAACTCGACGGAACCGCTGATGTGATCCGATGATATCAGTAATGAAGAAAGCAAGAGAAGGACGTCTTGATGTTTAGCGGTGTGCCGTATCATAACTTTACCGCTAAGACTTAGAAGACCACTAAACGTTCACAGGAGTTAGATGGCTCGATCCAAGTGCCTGTAACTGAAGGGACTTACATGGTATAAGCATACTCATAAAATGTCTTCTAACTACTAAGTATTCTATTCTTTCGTGTATACGTATGTTCTTCGCTCCTTTACCTCTAAGAAAGATTTTTTTTTAATTCGTTTAGTTGGGGGTGGAGTCCAACTGGGTCCACCCGGCACGGCGGCCACTGATTGGCCTATTGTAGCCTGCCCCGGGTGATTATGATGATGGAGAATTTGGTGGAATGAAGATTGGCAGGGGAAACCGAAGTACTCGGAGAAACCCCGCCCCAACGCCACCTTGTCCACCACAAATCCCACTTGAATAGAACCGGGATCAAACCCGGGCCGCCGCGGTGGGAATCCAGCGACTAACCGCTTGAGCTATGGCGCGGCCTCTAAGAAAGAGAGTGGAAGTTGAAATTAAAATAAGTCACGTGATGGCAACGACGCTGTCCTTTTACCCGTCTCAAACGGAGAATTGCGTCAGTCGTGTGACAAGTGAAATCTGAATGCTGACTGTAGGGAACATTGCCAATTCGTGTGTCTTACTGAAGTCTGCACTGAGCAGTAAAATAAACTGGACAACTGGACTAAATGTAATTTCGAAGGTGCGGAAACTGTGAATTATATTTCAAGCTGACCCCAAAAGCATTAATGCCAAGCAGAACGGATGCCTATTTTCGCAATGAGTGCCCACATTTTTAGACTGCTTTTCTATCTCTAGGGAATGGAAATAAGTCTATCAGATCACCGTGTTTTGTATGTCTGTGTGTTTCTCCATTTAGTCCTTGAACCAAACTCATCGATTTTCAAAAACTTGGTACGAACTTTGCGTCACTGAACGCCACCACTATGTCATTTCCTACAGTTACTAATATCTACAACACGGAAGCGCGAAATTAAGGCGAGAGTGACACTAGCACTAGTTAATTAAGATACTGAATGGGTGCGAAGTAATGAGTACGTGACAAAATACAAATATCGCTGGGGTAATTTCTTGAAGCATCAAAAAGAAAAAAATCAAGATAATATAATTTTTCTTTAGTTTCAATTTATAGGAAATTTGTTAGGAAAATAAACTGTAAATATACCAACAGATTATTTACGAAATATTGTTTTTAGCCAACAATTAGAAACATGGCAATGATGCGATACTTACAGTTTATGTTCGACAAATTTAACATAGACAAATCCTGCACTCCATCAATAAGTTATTCACAAAAATGAAATAAATATCAATAATAACAGCAATTAATCCTAAGGACTAAGGAAATATGGAGCTAATAAGAAAGTCAGTTTCATGAATTATGACGCAAAATCGTCGTTTTTTTTTTTTCATAATTTTATCATATTTGAACAATTTTCATGAACATATTTCTATATACGAAAATTTCCTTGCGGGAAGAATAATTACAATTTATAAAAGACTTTAGCAGATTGGGCGCTACATTTCTGTGGTCTTTGCGCTTTCTTCCTCCCCGCAAAAACTCTGTGCAATCTTACGTCTCCCAATGAAGTTGCAATCGAATGACCCACACAATACTTTCAGCCATGCAGTACAGTTCCTTGGACGAGAAATCAAATCACAGCAAGATCTTCAGCATTGCCGTATACAGTAACACAAGAAATGAGGACATACGTTCATGCTCCTAGCGGGGTGGAAATCCGCTTAAGATCTTAAGCTCTTTAAAATGTGCAGCCATCGAGTTCGACATCCTTATTAAATAAGTATTAAGCAATAATATATTTTATGAACGTGTTGATTCAAATTCTCTATGTGCTGCACATTCAGTTTTGAGAGATCGATAGTTGAAAGACATTATTTACTATAAAGTCTTTGTTTGACATAGGCATGTACACCAATTCCTCGACATCAGCATTAAGTTACGAGTTTCTCTTGATCCCCGGAATAAAATTAGGCCAACGGAGGGCAACTGTTGATTACTTTGACAAGAGTTATGGCGGTATAAAATCGAATTTCGGGGTCGAATAATCAGCACTCCTTCTCAGTATTTGCGAGGCCCCAGATTCAAATCTTGACCTTCAGACCTGCTGTCCTGACTGTAGTTTGTTGCGGTTTTCCGCAGTCACTCCAGACGAATGTTGGGATAGTACCTCAAGTCAGAACGGCTTTCTTTCACATTCTTTTCAATTCAATATTCACCAGTTATCCTCTCATTCGACACTATACATTCTGAGCTATTTAAACCGTCGTTAAATAGTCCATAACAGTGTAACATTTAGCGTGGTGTAAAGGAAGTGCCACCATCCACTTTCAGTTACTGAATTATGGCAATATGTCTTCCATCTGATGTGAAGGAAATGCAACTATTACAAATCCCGTTTACGAAATCAAGGCGGTTTAACATTCCTGCACGAAATGAATAGAACGTCAGTACGTACTTCTTATAAGCTTTTCACAACTATATAAATCTTTCTGTTCGATGTAGAAGAAGTAGTTTCAAATGATCACTTTATTTTCAACTGGCTGCATTACCCTCTGAATCCCTTGTCTCTCCAACCCCTTTTCTAAAGTTACAGCTCATTAACGCCCTAACGTCAGCTACAGTCATAATTAACTGTGTAGTTTCAGTTCTATATTTAGAGTCTTTCTTTGTGCATGATAATTGCTGTTGGCGTTGTGATAAATGAAGGACTAAAAGAGATGAGATTAGGAGTTTGTGACTATAGTATTATAATACAATTATTATGTTTTTTTTGAAAAGGGAGACAAAGTCTAGTCGCCGAAACGTTGTGTTTTAAATAAAAATCGGGACGATAAATCGTTTCCAAAAACGCAGTAATTGTGCTGAAAAGTTGGGCTGAAGAACTTACAAAACTGATAACAATCTACGCAGATTTACTTCACTGTGGAAGTCCGAGTTCAAGTCTACTCCAAATTGAACTCGTAGATGTTAAAATGGAAAACGAACTGCAGATGGTAGTCCTTCTTACGATCTATCCTAAATAGCGTGTAACTGCGTTACATATAAAATTCCCATTGTCTCCTTTTCAAGATATTGTTAACCACTCCACAGCGTCTGGATCGGCTCTGAGGCGCACTCAGACTCCGGGCGATTTCCTCGGAGGTAAAGCTGAACACTCTTCCATATGTCGAGATCAAGAAAGTTGGAGCTATACCTCCACTCACTCATACGTTTTCATGGCGTGATGCTTACTTTACTTTTACTTTTACTTGGTTCTCACTCCTCAAAACTGAAAGAAATATCTTGCTGTTTTGCTAAAAGGGTAATGGAAATTATGGCAGATAACTGTTATGCAAATATGATTTTTGTCATTATCAAAATGTTGAGATATTAATATAGCCATATTCATAATGATCTGGTAAAGTTGTTCCCGTGATTAATTAATCACCATGCCATAAATATATATGGGGAATGGAGATGTATCTCCATATATTTTGGCATCAGTGCTAGATGGAGGTTAATGAGCAGCCACATGTCCCGACGTCGTTGTCGCAGGGAGAAGATTCGTTGGTTCCATTTAGATAAAAGGCTAGATGGGTTCCTGGGCCGGTTTGGACCCTGTGGCTGAGAGAAGAATGCCTGCCCATGCCATGAACCCCTGTCATCCGGTTCGTGTCCCACTATTTATACTGACTGAAGTATCCAGCTCCTTCATCACAATCACCACAATGCAAATAAAGACACCCTCAAAATTTTACGCTTTAAGCCACCAAAAAAATGCACACACTAATTTTTAGAAATTAAACTTTACCTTTTCCATAGCTTCTGATTACTTTAAAGTATTCATACTGGAAATGGATTTTTAGTTACAGTGTCCTTTGGGACAGTTATGAAGACCACTTACTGAAATTTACTAATCATATCTACACAAATTCATATTTACAGAACCTCGAGATAAAGTGAAATAACAAATCAAATTGTAGATGAAATCAGTTAGGCGTTCCTTTTGCGCATTATAAGACGGATCAAATGGTATTTACTCTCAAAATGAAATTTTCTTGTTTTATTGAAAGATACAGATATCATGTTTTGATTTTCTTGCCTTTTCTATTGAATTGTCTTCAGTGACACGAATATCTCACATAAAGACAAATACGGAGGTATATAAAGCACGAAAATTTCTGCAAAATTATTTAGTGTGTGGTGTATAACTATAGGTCTAATATTTATACAGGAAGTACGGAGAATATTTAATGTACATGTAATAGTAAATTAGCGAGCGAACTTACAATTATGTTACTCTTGTCAGAAATGCAACTACTTGGAAACATTCCTTATAAGATTTCCTGTGGGATGTCAGAATTAGATCTATCAGAAATTGTTACGCATAGAAAATGCACGATTGAGAACTTAAATTTAAGTCTTCAAATACGAAGAGGAAAATGGATTTTGGTACATGGGCACATCAGCTCTTACGTTTGCGACTAAATGTGTACAATTATGAACATTTTTCAGGTGGCCATGAATCCAAAAAATACAGTGTTTGATGCTAAACGTCTCATCGGTCGTCGTTTTGATGATCCCAAAATTCAAGACGACATGAAGCACTGGCCGTTCACAGTCATCAATGAAGCTAGTAAACCTAAGATACAGGTGGAGTACAAGGGAGAAATAAAGAAATTCGCACCAGAAGAGGTTAGTTCCATGGTCCTGAGCAAAATGCGCGAGGTCGCCGAGACGTACCTGGGAGGGAAGGTAAGCGACGCTGTTATCACTGTTCCTGCTTACTTCAACGACTCCCAGCGTCAGGCAACCAAAGACGCCGGTGCCATCGCGGGCCTCAACGTTCTCCGTATAATCAACGAGCCTACGGCAGCCGCTCTGGCTTACGGACTCGACAAGAATTTGAAGGGCGAGAAGAACGTCCTGATCTTCGATCTCGGCGGAGGCACTTTCGACGTGTCTGTGCTGTCCATTGACGAAGGATCGCTGTTTGAAGTCAAGTCAACTGCAGGCGATACCCATCTTGGTGGTGAGGACTTCGATAATCGGCTAGTGAGTCATTTTGCAGATGAATTTCAACGGAAGTATAAAAAGGTAAGATATTTATCCCACCTCAACAAGAATTTAGGTTTTCAAAGCCATTTATTCCGAAAATTAAACAGTTGGCAACTAAAATAGATGGAAAGTAGTTCAAATTAAATTATTGCACCAAATTAAAGTCTCCTGATTGGTGGACCTATTGTAAGGACATAAGAAATAACAAGGCGATTTTGAATAATTAATTGCGGATGATTTCGAAGAATTCGTCCGTGGGCTGAACTTAGGCCTAGCCTCCCAGAATTTCCCTAGAGAGACGTAGGAAAACCATACAGATCTGGACAGGCTCCCTGACCAGATTCTAACACAGTACCCATAAATAAAAGGTATGAGTGGTAATCACTTCACCTATACAATCGGCAAGAATAAGGTAGGGTAATATTTTGTAATTGAATATCGTAGAAATGCAATACTTTATCACGAATTAAGCCAACTAATTCTAAAGTCTCGGGCCTCCCGGTAACGTAGTTGGTTGAGGCATTATGTTACGAGCCAGAAGGTTGTAGGTTCGATTCCCGATGAGACGATTGGATTTTTCAATTGTCCTAACCCTTCCAGCCGCACTATGGCCCTGGGGTCGACTCAGCCTCTAACAGAAATGAGTACCAGTAATCTTCCTGGGGGTAAAGGACGACCGACGCGCGTAAGGCTGGCAAATTTACATCCCTATTGGCCTCCACGGCCTGTTGCAGGGTTAGCTTTACTTTTTAAATTCTACAGTCCAAGATCAGTTTTGGTGTTTATTTCTGGTCATTTTGAAGGACCTGAGGGGAAATACCCGAGCCATAAGACGCCTGCGGACAGCATGCGAGAGGGCCAAGCGCACCTTGTCTTCAAGTACCGAGGCAAGCCTCGAGATCGATGCTCTTCATGAAGGCATTGATTTCTACGCCAAAATCACACGAGCCCGCTTTGAGGAGTTGTGCATGGACCTCTTCAGATCCACGCTGACACCCGTGGAACGCGCACTGGCTGACGCAAAGCTTGACAAGGGACGTATCCATGACGTCGTGCTTGTGGGCGGTTCTATTCGCATCCCTAAAATTCAGAAGATGTTACAGGCAAGCTCAATTTTAGTGCTGTGTACTAGCTGAATAAGTATGGTAGCCTGTATCTCGAGGAAGCATGATACTGACTTTAATGTCAATGTGGAAGAATTGCCCTGATTGAATAACCTACATTTGGGAGCATGGACAGGAAAGTATAGAAGCTACATACTAAACGTAAAACTTTATTTATCGCAATTATTTTTCACCGTTTACTTAAGCCTGCAGCTTCCAAATGAGGCTGGCAATGATAAAGATGATGTACTCTGTGGAAATTTTCACTATGGTGGTTATTTTATGGGATAGCCTACTCCATTCTTCTGTATCCTCCCATATGTGTTCTTCTTGTACCTGTGCCCACTTTTTCTTAATTTTCATTTAAATATCTTCTCTCATCTTTGCCTCCATTTGCACCTTGGTTGACACAATGGTCCTTTATTTGGCATTGTCACATGCTGAAACTGTTCTGCTGTTCCAGCATTCTGGTGAACACTGCAGTGAACCTTCTTCAGGATGAATGTAATGTTACACTTGCCCTGCAGATGGTAACTGTAATATATTCAGAGGCGTTAGGATATCTTCAACATATTGTTTGGATAAAACTTGAAAGTCTGTGACACATTAGACACAGGGTCTGAAATCCTAAAGAGAAGATTATCATATTCCCATAATACAAATATAGACACAAATACAATGTTGGTACAGTTATTTTGTAGACATCTTATTTTATTAGGATATTATATTTTACATAGCAAAGCAACCAAAAGACTTATTGTCTTAATAAATATTTACAATATTTAAGAATTTTCAGTTATTGTAAAGGGAGTGATATAAGAGCTAATCCTTTAATGCAGCCTTAAATATTTTTGTATATGATTTAAAGTTTTAATGGTGGGAGGAAGATTATAGAATAAATTAATTTTTATAGAGTACAGTAAATTTATATATCTAGTGAGGTCAGCATTTGGCATATTGAGGTCATGATTATGTTTTATATTAACTTATGTGTGTTTGAATTTTTCTAAAACTTATTCATGTTGTCCACAACAAATGGCAGTGATGAGACTAAGAATTTGGTGAAGAGGAGAAGTTTATTAAATTTCTTACATGGTTCTCTACAACAGACTCTCTTTCTAATGGCTGCCTCTTTCTACCCTTTACCAAATAGTTTGTGAATTTAATACACAACAAACTTATTCCACCTTAAATTATTAATGTACTTTTACACATAATATTTACCTGTAGGACTTCTTCAGTGGTAAGGCATTAAACCTGTCCATCAACCCAGATGAGGCAGTGGCTTATGGGGCTGCTGTGCAGGCAGCCATCTTGAGTGGGGACACAAGTTCACAGATCCAGGATGTGCTACTGGTGGATGTGGCTCCTCTGTCTCTTGGCATTGAGACAGCTGGTGGAGTCATGACGAAGATTGTGGAGCGCAACTCACGCATACCATGCAAGCAGACACAGACCTTCACAACATATTCTGACAACCAATCAGCAGTCACCATTCAGGTCCACAGAGCACAGACTTCTTGAGCCATATGGAAAAGCTAACATAAGTAAAACTGATATGTCTCCTGCAATATATTGTGACAATTACTAATTTAAAAGCCAGTTACTCTCCCACTGTTCGTAACCACTTATGCTCTCTATTCACTCAGTACTTCACAATAACACCACTGCTCACTCACCTTTTCTTCCAACTTCACTGTAATGCAGTGAAGTGAACTGGTAATGGACTGACTTACTAATTCACTCTCTCACTGATCACTCATTTGCTCTGCACTGCACTGAAATGGGGGCCTTGTAAAAACTTGAGAACTATTTTCATAGGCATGTTATTTATAAGGACATTCTTAACACGTTCACAGGCAAACTTGACTTTCATCATCTGCTAAGCAGTTTCCCATACATTCTAGAAGGGGTGCCTTGATATTTCAATTGAACAAACGACATGGGCAAGCCAAATGATGTGATCCTACTATACTTCGTTTTCACAGCATTACTGTAGGCCTATTTCATTTTCACAATTTTTATGCCTACAAAATGGAGACTTCATTTACATGCACAAGGGGTCTCTTATTCATTCATTCATCAGTAATCTGTCAAGACGACAGGTCCACAGTCTCTTCCAAAACAGTTCCTCCACTTGATGCGACCTAGAGCTTTCTCCTTCAAATGAAAATATCCTCTTCTGTTCAACAATCACTTAAATATTGTTAAAGAAGGAAGTAGGTCAATTAAATTTACATATATTTAACTGTAAATCAGTGAGACTTTACAATGATTGGAAATTTCTTTCACATTATGCTTAAAATCATTTAAATATAATTTGAAGCTCTTTGTGCATGATACATGGGTTTTGTGCTATTTGCATAAATTTTATCATTGCCAAATGTCCATGGTAGCTCTATTAATGTTAATAAATGCAAATCATTGCAGCATCTTAATTAGTTTTTCTCACTTTAAATACACATATTCCAAAACAACATGCATCAAGAAATTGGGTATGTAGGTAAATCCCATTATTCATTGATAAGAAACATTACATTACATTATGTAGCATTCCCTGTGCCAAAGTTAGTCAGAATGGCTGCAGGATGTGGAATATGTCATATAAATACAAAAGCATATGTACAATGTAACTTAAGTTTTAACAAAAGAAACAGAAGGAAACACAATTGTTAAACATAAGACTATTTAAAAATACATCAACATATATACATCAATAATGTGAACTTATGCTATTTACACAACCTTTAAATGGACGAGTCACTTTTTAGACATCAAAAGAGTAGAATGATTGTGTGTTTAAGTCTCATTTTAATTCTATTTTAAATCATGCCTTTTCATTCATAAGTATTTTGAGATCAGAAGGCAGACCATTGAAAATTTTGATGTCGGCATAATATGCTCTTTTCTGAAAGCATGAGAGTTTAGCAGTTGGATTATGAAGATAGTGCTTGTATCTTGTGTTAACACTGTATACATCTGCACTGGTCTGAAAATGTTCTTCATTATTTGTAATAAAGTGTATTAATGAAAATATCTATTCACATGGAAGAGTTAAGATCTCTAGTCTCTTGAATACATCTCTACAAGAATTACAGGATTTGACTGCTATCATGAGTCTAACAATTTTCTTTTGCAATGTAAATACCTTTTTGCTGTCAGATGAATTACGTCAGAAAATTATTTCATACTTCATTAAGGAGTGAAAATAATGAAAATAAATTGATTTGAGAGTGTCGGTGTTGCTGATATGCAACATAGATCTAACTGCATATCATGCTCCACTTAGCTTGGGAACCAACTGTTCGGTATGGCTGTGCCCTAGCTCAGTCGATTAGTCACTGGCTTCCCAATGTGGCGGCCCATGTTCAATCCTGAGTCTGGTCAAGTGGGATTTGTGGTGGACAAAGTGGCACTGGGAATTTTGTTTTAATAGTATCCAGAAATCGTCTAATTATTTACTAGAAATCACGACACTAGTGTCATCAGCAAATATTATGGGTACAGAAGAAGTGTTTAGTGTAGGAGGGAGATCGTTTATACATATTGGGAAGAGCAGAGGCCTTAAAATTGGCCCTTGGGGAACTTCATGCTTTATTGTTTGTACTTTGGGTTCAACTTTATCACTTTATTTCAGTCTTATGTTTTCTGTCTGTTAGGTAGGATCTGAACCAACTTGCTGTTGCTCCTTGAATGCCAAAAAAATATAATTTAGTTCATAAAATTTCATGATTTACACAGTCAAAGTATTTGATAAATCACAGAATTACCCACTAACATGCATTTTTTAATTAACAGAATTTAATACACTCTCTGTTAGCTTAAAGGTTGCATTTTCTGTGGATATTCCTTTCCTGAAGCCAGACTGTTCAGGGACTAGTGTGTCATTAGTCTACGAATAATGGCTTATCATAATGTATTATGCATAACTTTCTCAGATACTTCAGAGAATGTAGTTAATAGTGAAGTTGTGAAATGTTTTCACGTGAGTCAGCATGTTAGTGTACAATTTATGGTTGACAATGGCAGCAGTTTCTTTGATCTTGGAGTTAACAGCTTTATTAGTTCTTAAAATACAAATGTCACAAATTTTGTTATCTTTTAAAATACAGATTTCACATAATGACAGGGATGTGAGTTATTACTAGACAGGGTTGTGCTTGTTTCTTTGCAGAAGAGAAATTCATTTATTGTAATATCAATTGTTGCCAAATGGTTTACTCAATTTTCTTGATTTTTAAGCAGTATCCAGTCAACATATGATAAATTTAAAAATAAATAAAACGCTTTGCTAAATTATTTTAGTCAAAAGCCATAATCAGGAGAAAGTAATCTTTGTTTTGTTTGCAGGTATTTGAAGGCGAGCGTGCAATGACTCGAGATAATAATTTATTAGGAACTTTCAACTTAACTGGAATACCTCCAGCTCCTCGAGGAGTTCCTAAAATTGAGGTCACTTTCGATTTGGATGCTAATGGAATTCTTAATGTGTCTGCCAAAGAAGGTAGCACAGGAAAATCTGAAAGAATTACCATCCAGAATGACAAAGGGAGACTGTCTAAAGAAGAAATTGACAAGATGCTTGCTGAAGCAGAGAAGTATCGCGCAGAAGATGAAAAACAGAAAGAGAAGGTGAATAAAAATAGTTTTATTAACAATTTACATTGACACCATAACTAAGATTCTGATCATGTATATGTGTGTAAATGTAATATTTTGAACATGATTTCCTGAATTGCTTTTTGTAAGGTAAATATATCAAAATTATTACATGGTTATTGATAAAGCTTTAACTTCTGAATCTTTCTGTGAAGTTAAAAAAGAGGGTCTTGTATATCAAACATTCATTCAGCGGTTATCAATAGGAAATCGCATCGATACATGCTAAAGGAATCAGAAATCCACATAAGCAAAATAACTACAATGTCCCTGTTTTCAAATTTGTCAACAATTGTCTTCAGCAGAAGTCAATGAACATTTCATCTTTTGACACCATGACATAGCAAGTCATTGGGTTTTGAATGGAGAAGATGGCCACCATTTGTGGAGGTACATATGAATACAGCATCCGAATAAGCAATAACAGAGAGTCAACAGATTTTTTCTTCCAAAATGGAATTAGGTGTCGGGCTAATAACTGTTCAGCCTTAAATAAGTTTCCATATCACAAAACTTACAACTTGGGTGACAATTTCAGGTCATAGATATCTGGGAGTAATCCATTGTGGAGGTAATGAATGTTTTAGCACTGTTGGTTCCATCTGAGGAAGGTAGTGGGTAGAAAGAAATATTTTCCTTATATAAGGGATGAGTAAATAAAACTTTGGGAATAACTCTTTTATGAATTACTAACTCAGAACAGTATTTACAAAAAAGCATTTGTTAGTGATAATGTTGTGATGTTACTATAGGAAGATCGCTGTGCCACAGCTCAAGCTGTTAATTCCAAGTATTCCATTGCAATGGCCAAAGTTCGATCCCAGGGCAGTTCATGTTGGATTTGTGATGGACAAAGTGGTACTTGGGCAGGTTTGCTCTGAGTACTTGTTTTCCACTGCCAATTATTATTCTACCAAAATCTCCATATTCGTCTGTCAATAATACAATAAACCCATTAGTGGCAAGCATATCAAATAAACTTACCCTGAGCTTGACTCAGCCTCTAACAGAAATGAGTACCAGGAATTAATTAAATAATTTTCCTGGGGACTAAAACGTGGCCGGCGCATAAGGCTGACAGCCTTACCACCATCTTTGAGCAGATTGTCTAGATAATGTTGGACCCTCAACGTCTCACAACCCTACCGGCCTTCATGGCCTGTTACAGGGATAGCTTTACTTTTACTTTTTTTTTACTTTACATATCAAATGGACTTAATCTCACCCCACGCACCCACAAAATAAAAATGATAGTAAGTATAGGATGGTTTTTGGCTTGTTGGCTTATATTTGTGCATTCATTATTTTAGGTGTGGCTAATAAAAGAATTTCGGGAATCATTGCTGAGATGTTTTTTCCTCATTTTTCATACACAGGTAACAGCTAGAAACCAACTTGAAAGTTATACATTTGGGGTAAAACAAGCAGCTGAAGAAGCAGCAGCAGGAAAGCTGACAGAAGATGACAAGAAATTGGTACTGGAGAAATGCAAGGTAGTACTGAGTTGGCTGGACAGTAACACTCTTGCAGAGAAGGATGAGTATGAAGACAAGCTAAAGGAGCTTCAGCGTGAGGTGGGGCCCATAATGGTCAAGCTGCACCAGGGCTCTGGTGGTAGTGGTGCAGGCAGCAAAGGGCCCACTGTTGAGGAGGTTGACTGAACTGACCAGTCACTTCTGTTAAGAGAATGAAAGTATAAGTGAACAAACTTCTGTAATCTAAAGACCTTTAAAGTTGCACTCACACTGCTGGTAATTTGTCATATGATCTTGCTGCTTGCTTAACAGTGTGTTTTTCCTTCTTGTTGGCTTTAGTCAGCACTTTAAGCAGGCAGTAATGTTCATTACATAATGTTTTATTTAATAATGCTCAGTCACCTGCAGAATTCATTAGTACTGATGGATATGGAAAATATTTTTTATATCATTCTTTCAACTTACTTCCCACATGGCTAGTCGCTGGCTTCCCACTGCGGCAGCCCAGGTTCAATCCCGGTTCTCGTCAAGTGGGATTTGTGTTGGACAAAGTGGCGCTGGGGTGGGTTTTCACTGAGTACTTCGGTTTTCCTTGCCAATCTTCATTCCACCATTTGTCCATCATCATAATCACCCAGGGCAGGTACAATAGGCCAATCAGTGGCCACCGTGCTGAGTGGACCCAGCTGGACTCCGACTGAGAAGAATCTCGAAATTGTAATTGTTATGATTTATCTAGAAAGAAGCCATAGATTATTTTAAGGTGATATCCCATCATTGTCTGCAGAAACTTGGGAAATGTGAATAATTCAGAGTGTCAAAATTGGAAACATACAGTATGTGCCAAAATATCCAGTAATGAAATGAAAAGATGTCCTGTTGATACTACTGTCTATTCATCTGAAGGCCTCTTGCATGACAGAACCTTTTCAAATCCTGAAGAAATGGTCCGATCACCCTGTCCCTGTAGCATTCTTGGGTGACGGTAAGAGCATTGCTTTCCTCATCCTCAATGAAATAGGGGCCTAATATACAGTGTGCTGAGACGGCACACCATATTGTGACACATGCACTATGTAGCTGTTTCTGGATGATAACATCTGGCCGCTCAAAACCAAGGAAGCGAGTTGTCTGGCGACCACTTCCATATGAGCAGAAATAATACTCAACTATGAATACTTTTTTCTGTTGAGAGACCCATTTCCAACAACAACTGCGCAACACAACTTCCTTTTCACTACTCGGAACATGTGTGGCTGGAGCTATGCCCCGTCGACAAACACACACGCACATTCGAGATGCATGAGTTTCAGTACAGCGTTTTTGGTGCATACTGTATTTGAGTACCACCCACATGAAAGTCTTTGTATACTCTGCAATATACAGTATCTATCTGCTACTAGTTCTGGGAAAAAATGCGCAACCTGTTTTATGCATTGTGATTACACTTAATATTTAATGCTAGCCATAAAAACATGCCACAGCATTAGACAGGAGCAGCCAGTGACCCAGCTCCAGTGTATAGTGGGTTACAGTTAATCTTTAAATATTAATTTTTCTTTATTTATTTTGATACAACTGCTCATTACACTTACGTTGCACGTAATTGCCAGCAGAGTGAGCACAGACTTCATTTTATGAACCAGTATGTCAGCGATTCAGGAGGTGTTAAATACTTAATTCTGCATTTAATTTATTTATTACAAGTAAATCAGGAATATATATTTTAAGAGTTTCTGCAGTAGCTGGTTCTTGCTCATTTAATTATGATTTATTCAACTATGGTCCTGGGATTGAATCAATCTTTAACAAAAATGAGTACCAGGAATCTTCCTGGGGGTAAAGGTGTCTGGCATGTAAGGATGATTGTTTACAAAATATTGGAAACTTGATGTCTTAAAACTCCATGGATTTCCACGTCCTGTTATAGGGATAACGTTACTTTTTTGTATATATTTTGGGCTAATATATTGTTGCCCTGTAATTGCTTGTGCTTGTGAGCACATTAAGAAATTCATCAGTACATAAACTGCTTCGTGCATTGTTTTAGAATACATCATCATTGTAGAGCCTAAACTAATTTATGTACTTCAGCAGGTTCCTGGGAATGAACTCATGTGCACATATAAATTATGATGACACTATTAAATGCATTAAATTTGGAAATGTTTCATATATGCATATTTGCACTAAGAAAGCATAACACAGAAAAATGATATTAATTCTTGTTAATATCTACTGGAATGCAAAATTTTCTTTCAAAGTCCCATCGTTTCTTATGACCAGATAAGCTATTTATTACAGTGGTTTTCTGAGAAAATGTGAGAAGATTTCAAGTTCAGAATAATTTTATACATGAATGATTTAAAAGCAATATTTCTGGAGTTTTAAATGTCAATGATAATAGTCAACATATTTTATAATGCTACACACCCCTTTGTGTTTTTTTAAGTCAAGTATCTAATCAGAATTCAGGATAATTGTATTACATGAAATAAAATCCAGATGTATTTTGGATTATTTCCTGTGTTAAACAGAGAGTATCATGTCCTTAACCATATTCATATACAGCTAACCATAACCTTAATATTAATTTTGTGAGAGTGAGGTATTTTACTATGTGTTATTACAAAAATAGCTAGAATTCACAAGTTCTAATATGCTGGTTACTATATTCATGACCACTAAACATGCTTCTGAAAAATAACTTAGTATCTGCAGTGGTGTCTGTCTGGTAATACATGCACTGTAAATGTGACTACCTTTGTTACAATAACATGCAGGGAGGGAGAAATATATGCATAATAATTTTATAACTGAATATGCCAGAGTTTAAAGCTGCCACAGAAGTAAGGGCTTTTAGTGCTGAAGAAGTGAAGGAGGATGAACCTGAGAATTATGTGATAAGTCCAGGAATGTATTCAGAATATTATGTTTGCACATTATATAATCTTTGCAGGGGACTTAAATAGAACAACATGACATTACTTGTGTTTGAGGTTGTAAAATCTGCTGGAGAGCCATAACTGTTGTGTTAACAGAACTTGAAAGCTTTCTCAGTTTTCATGGCATGAAAATAATAGCAAAGTTTTATATATATAATAACATGACTAAAAAAACATGCCCAGTTAAAACCCACAATAATACAAAAAATTATAAAACAATCAGAAAGTGGCACAATATGTAATGGCCGATTATATACAGACTCTTTCTCAGTCATAACAAGTGTCTGATTACAGATACAATACTGAAGGTTTAGAGTTAAAGCAATATTCCACAGAAGTGACATTTAGTGGACTACTGCTGAGGTAAGAATATATTTGAAACTTATATGGACAGTTATGGGCAGAAATATATTTCTATGAGGTGCTTGTAAGTCATGGGAATACTTAAAAAAGGTATTCATTTGTCTGTAACTGAAGAAACACTCGGAAAGTCCTTCTGCTGAAAGACATTGTCCTGCATGTATTTCAATATATAAATTATACTGGTAAAGTATAGAGTGTATATTTTATATTTTGAACAATTAATATGTTGCAGGTTTTACCTGAAGACGGGGACAGATTCCAGTTCCCGAAACGTTGTGTTTTTAATAGAAACTAGACGGTTTTTTAGAACAGACAAGATGATGGATAATGTCCATCAACATATTAATTGTAACAATTTACCATCATCACAAACTTTTAGATAATATTTTGAAGTTTGCATGTTAATTTCTGTTGAGCAGATAGGTTCACTGAGTAGTATCAGATTATCAGTTTTACTTATTTTGACTATTACAGTTTTCAGACTCAGATTCTGAAAGTACGTCAAAATCTTATTTTCATGAAACATAGAGCATGACTTTCATATTGTTTATTCATAAATTTAATGTCATGTAGGCCTAGTGTTTTGACAAATAAAGTTAATTTTTATTTTGTTTTGAAGTTTGAACTTTATAAATGAAATGTCAAAACAACATGAATGGTATGTGAACTTCAAATAGAATAAAATAAAGAATGTCTTAATTGTAAATATAAATATATCAGATATTGTACAGTTATCAGTCAGTGAACACCTGCAGAAATAGTTACCTCCATACTTCCAGTCTGAAGGGTCTTGAACTGACTTTTTTTTTTATTTTATAAGTATCTATTTAAATTGTAACTGGGTTTCTCATTAATTATGAAACTATAATAAAAGTGTATATTTAATGTTTCATTTTCCTGATATAACTTCATTTCATGTTGTATCTTGTCACAAGTGCATTGGCTTATTAACGATAACTGTCCTTTTTCTGAAGTAAAAAGGAAATTAGAACTAATATGCTGCATGCTCCATTCAATCCTGTTTAAGTTGCTAATAATATATGAGTATGTGACAGAGGAAAATTTGAGGAGTTTGATGTTAGGCGGACCGCATAGAAAACGACGCCTCCAACAATTATTCGTTGTCACGGTAACGTCGTTAAAGAACTGTTACTTAGCAAAGACATGGGGATACACAGACAGACCCACAGATACTCCTTAGATAAGAGACGAAATACATAGAAAATGTCGTGTCAAATAATTCTTCTTTTGTTGCAAGTATTCGTTGCTGCTGGAACGTGTTTACCGAGCCGTTGCCTTGCGACAGTAGAAGGGATACGCATGCAGAAACAGATACTGATGGGAGGGGTTTATGAAATACGCCGATGAGATGGGCTGAAGTGCCACGATATTGTCACGTGTTCGGGGTTTTCGTGACTAATAACAAAGGGTTCTGAATTTGATAATTGGATTTACTGGCACTTTTTTACAATTACACTCAATAATGACAGTTCACAATCAACGACTGTTTACGGCTCGCTCAATTCCTTGCTGGGCCACGAGCGTCTTCTCTTCCATTGTGATGAATGACGAACGAAGAATTCCTGCTCACACACTGAACTGCCTTGAACGACGTCTGTCTGACGTATGAATCTTGAAGAGTCTCCACGGCCCCTTGTATAGGCTAGCTCGTTTCTATGGGAATCCATTGTCCTGAAGCAGTTGTCATGAAAACCTCTTTATCGAGACGTTCGGTGCTAAGCAACCGAAGTTCTATTGTTGGTTGCGTTACCTCGGGAATGTGTCTGCTTAGTAATGGGGTTTTCTGGTTCCATAGCTTAATGCCTTGACCAAATCCGCCACAATACAATACCAAGTTTCGTAAAGTTTGGTTCAGGCATTCAAAATTTAATAGAAGGAGGAATACACAGACACACAGGATGGAGATCGCTTAAGCCTAGTTTAGGAAAGTAAGCTAGAAACTGAGTTGGTTTGGTGAACAGAAGCTGTACCTACTACATGAGTTCTAAACAAAAAATAAGTATAACAGTAACAACAACAACAATTCAGTTCCCTATTTACTTACGTGCTTATTCGCAGCCTAGAGGCCCGTTGTAATGTAAGCATGAGCAAGAAGAAGAATAAAAGAAAACCCACACATACATAACAAATGACAAGATAAAACAATTTCGATCATTTAAACAACAGTGAAAATTCAGTATGTTCAATCATGCTAAACATTATGCGTTGAAGAATCCCACACCGAATACAATTAATATTTGAATAATTTAAGAAGTACCATCATAAAATAAGATTCAGAGGAGCAGGTTTGTTTCCAAATATGCCAAAGTCTCAAAACAACTTCATTCAGTGCAATTCTTTGTTTACGTATGTGCTTGCTCAACAGTCCAAAGGCCAATTATAAAATACGCATGACCAAAAGGAGAAACAAAACTGATGTTGGTAATGACAACAACAATAACAATAAAAATAGCAATCAGTCGTCGTCGTCGTCGTCATCATCATCATCATCATCATCATCATAGATCTACCTTTCTAGTATGTATGCGGCTAGGTACTTTTGGAATTATAATTGTCGTTCACGCTACTACATAGAAAAATGTAGGTTGCTGATCAATACAAGTTTTTTTTTTCCTTAGCACTACAGCCCCAGTGGGCCTAGGCCTACCTCCATGAACTTCTCCGTTCACTTCGGTTTTTCTAGATCTTACACATTCGGTAGGACTCCTTGGGCGGGTGATAAGCTCGTCGCAAGGCCTCTACCTGTACACAAACACAGAAAAACGCACACACACAAACTAAACATCCATGCCCTGAGTGGGATTGAACCCACGATCCCGGTTTCCAAGCGAGCGAAGACAATACATGCCTTAGACCGCTCGGCTACCGTGACCGGCGATCGAGACAAGTTCGAAAGGCAAACAGCAAAGAAGCTGACGTTGCTGTCGCGTGAAGGAAAAAGTGCTGGGATTGTTTTACTTGAGTGTATTCATCAAACTGTGTTCAGACAATGCTGATTAGGTTCACATATCCATTGCATGGAAGGAAATTGCATAACGACAGTAACATTCGAGTCAAGGTGTTTGGCCTGCTTGGATGAGAGCAATGGTAGCTGCTAGTAAACACGTTAGTTTCGACGAACTCTGCTCAGGACTTGGCTGTAAAGATGTATATCACCCACGGACCCCAAGTTGTCTTGCATCGGTGTGGGACATGAATCAGCGCAGTATGAAAGGATGCATACAGTTGTTTGCTTCAGTGTATGCGGTAAGTCATTTTTCATTATAAGCAAGTACTGAAGACACTCAACGTTTTTTTGACGGATTTTAGGGCTCCAGGTACTTTGACCTCACATATTTTAGTATTACGTAATAGCAAATATGATTATTACGGTATTCTGGAATAGGCTGCCTTTTGGATTGATAGATGTTGTAATAAGTGTCCATATATTTCCCACGATTTAGACAAAATATTTAATAAATTATCATTCGTGTATTCTTCAAACAAAATATTTGTCGCGGTCACAGTTACAAACCAAAATATAGGTCATGGTTGCAGTCATAAACCGAAATATTTGCGCTGAATCCATAATGATTCGAAATATATTCCATGGTTGCATTCAGTCTCAAGTATCCTGTTGATACGGATTGTCGAAAATCTGAAAGAAGCTTCATTCATTGATTATTTGAAAATAATTTATATAATGAAATTATTCATATTGCATGTATTTAAACTCCCATAGGCTATAATTATTTTAAATCAAATCATTTTTTTGTTAAGAACTTATTTCATAAGTACAGATTTTATTTATATTAAATTTATCGGATATGACCCCGAAGTTTCGCACTCTCGTCACGTCTATAATTTTTTACTTACATACGTACAATATTTCATACATAACATGTAGACCTATATAAGTTATATCTGTGCACCAAATTCACCCGACAAATTTTAGTGGCATATTAACTATCGCTGTGAAATCAAAAGCCAATGAACATTTCACATGGCCGCCGAGTTTTATTTCATATTCTACAAAACATTACCAGAAAAAAGTTTCACATTTTTAAAGTTCTGTTGCCCATTTCAGGATCCTGTATTAAATGACGGTAGTTCTGCTGCACTCTTACAAATTCGCCCACACGTTTTGATGTTAGTGACTGCAGGAAACTTGAAAGTATGGCCTCGTAGCGACATTCTGTAATGTAATGTTCATGTTAACAAGTTTCGACAAAACGGCCAACCGAGTCAAAAGTTGTGAGGAAGGGACACATAAACACGGTGATGTCATAAAGCTAACTTCTTTCCTTAATATTTTCTGTTATTTTTTTAAAGATGTCAGTAATAGCGTTGAATGGTATGCTAATTACTGAATAATTAATTGGAAGGGTTGTGAAAGGAAGCTACCTTGGCTTAAAGCACAATAGACCACCGTAGGGCGCGGTGCAAGGACCGAGGAGGCCTAACCCTCATACAGTCATACCTTGGCCTAATTTGATGCACTATCCCGCTTTTTACATGAACGAAATGAGTAAAACCATAAAAATCCTCAGTAAGTACTGCCGAAGGCCGCTCAAGCGGTTAGTCGCTGGCTTCCCATCGCGGCGGCCCGGGTTTGATCCCGAGTCTGGTCAAGTGGGATTCGTGGGGGACAAAGTGGCGCTGGGGCAGGTTTTCTCCGAGAACTTCGGTTTCCCCTGCCAATCTTCATTCCATTAATTGCTTCACAATCACCCTCACCTGTCATCTGGGGCTGGTACAATAGGCCAGAAGAGGCCGCAGTGCAAGGGGCTTAGTCCCACCCCACTAGCAATAAAAAAAAGTACTGCCGACGTCCGGGCCTGTATTTGAACCTAGGCCCTTCCGAATACGAAATACAAATATTAACATTCGACTGCAACGTTCGTCTTCCTTTGTTAGGATTGAATTTCATGGCCGCCGGAATTTCAATTTCGCTGTAGCTGTAGCTAGTCTATGGATAAATCTCTGTGTGACATGCTACCTGTTGTGTTGCTATACACGGCGAAATTCTAGTTTCCGTCAGTGCAAACTGATAATAGCTGTCTTAACTTCAGGTCAGCAAGGTCACATGATCTCCCTCTAAATGCTACTTTCTTCTTGTTGTGTACTACACTGTTTGTCTTTAAGTTGGCTGGGCGAAGGTAATTTATCAGAGTGAAGCACGCGCCTTGGAACTATGGTATTAAACGGATTTTATGACCCTTTTTAACTTCGGTAAGCTCAATTGTTGAATAGGTAACATACATGTGCAGGCACAACTAAACAAAATTGTGAACACAGAAACACGTACGCAAGTATACGACCATACATTCGCCCACCGAGTAGGCTGGACTATCACTAATGCTCTGGTTTGTATTTGGGAGGTGCTAAACTCGAATGTTGGCCGGGCACCGACTAAACCTGAAGTACGTATTTCGTGCTTAATCACCCCAGGCAAAGACTGGGATAGTACCTAGCTTAGGACCTGTTCCTTTCAAATCAGTTCCGATTCATCAATCAACTTATCATTCGACACTATACGGAGTGTTTCATGTCTTTATGTTCTAACTTCAGGAGGCTATTCTGGATGAAAAACGTTAACACATAAAATACGCATGGCTTATGAATCTTTGGCCGAAGACTTCATTGTTCTCAGTGTGTGCCGTCGTGTTGCCTTACACAGCATGCCCCTACAAGTATCTTCATCAGTTGATGGAAGAAAGGTGACAGGATCAATCTCACATAACGTTCGGAAGGTCCTGTTCCGATAACAAAACAAGGGCCCGATTATCCCCTGCGCATTAATTGCAGGCCAAACCCAAATTTTAAATCATGCTTTGACATTCCATAAATGTCGTGAAGATTTTCTTTGATCCTCTTATTTTGGCAGTTTAAGCACGCATATTCTGGGCCAAGAATTCAATTGAATAACGATTCTTGAATTCATCTACAGTATCGAATCTTGCTTCGCAAACTGGAAGCCAGTGTATAGCTGTAGTTTTTACGGCAGTAACTTAACAATTTTGTACCAACAAGAGATGAATTCATTATCTATAAAGCGGCCTCCGTAGTCTAGGAGTAACGTTCCCACCTCATGACTCAAGGTACGCAGGTTCTCACCCGGCCGAGGTCGTGGAAATTTTTAGGAATTCATTTTTGTCCTGCACAGATCCCGTAGGATGTAATTTTGTTACGATGTTACTAATCATTGCTGTACTGCCACTGTAATGTCAGGATACTTCCCGAAACGTTCTACGGCATTTCCTCCATGATGAACCATGTACGAAAGTATCGCATACGAATAATTCCTGTTTAACATCATATTTCTTTTTCGAACACTGTGTTACGCATTACTGCGAAATCAATTTGTACGTATCTCGAGCGCAACAAATGCTCAACAGGCATCACTGTCTAGACAAGATAGTAAGGATAGTAAGCGTCGGGTGACTAAGCGACGGGCCAGCGGCCAGCATTAGGCAGGCCTAGACCAACGAATTTGTAGCCAGACGACAACCAGTTATACGTGGTCTGACAATAAAGTTCGCGAACTCGCCACCGTGTGCTAGACGTGGCAGCAGTGGGCAGAAACCTCAGTATGGTTTGATGACGTTTCACAGCTGTGTTGTTGTTGATCTATGGTAGTCTCTTTCTGAATGGCGTCTCTTATTGTCTGAGTGTGTTTTGGTGTGCCGTCGCGAGAGTGTTGAACTTCTTGTTAAACTTGGCAAGAGTGGAAGCGAATTCAGAGAGATGTCCTCTGCCTTTGTTACTAGGAGCTGGGTAAAAAATGCAGTTAGGAAATTTAGTTTTGTAACTTTTCCCCTATAGTTTCTCTTCTGTTTGATTTAAGTTATGTAAATTTACAAATGCCTGGAAAAAACTCATTTGTAGGCCAAGCCATGTGGAACTAATAAGAATGGAACCTTTAATGTTGGGAATATGAACCTACATAGAGTAGAAAAGAAGTATCCAGATGTAAGCTAGGGGCACGCAGTAGCATAGTTGGTTCAGGCACTACGCGACACACCGGAAGGTTGCGGGGTTGAATCCCAATGAAGTTATTGGATTTTTCAATTGACCTAATCCTTCCAGCCGCACTATGGCCCTGGGGTCGACTCAGCCTCTAACATAAATGAGTACCAGGAATATTGCTGGTGGGTAAAGGGCGGCCGGGGCGTAAGGCTGAAAATCTTACCGCAATCTATGAGCCTACTGTCTAGAAGATATGGGAGCCTCGACCTCTCACACCCTTCTGGACCTTCACGGCCTGTTAAAAAATTCCTTTGTTACGAAAATGAACACAAAGCCTCGGACCTGGACGGATCCTCTGGATAAACTGCCTAAGCTGAAGAAAATGGACACGAGATTCGGTACGTGGAATGTTACGGGTATGTATAGGGCAGGTTCACTCAGTTTTTTAAGGATGGGATGGTGTAGATTGGATTGATCTGGCTTAGGAGAGAGACCAGTGGAGGGCTCTTGTGAACACGGTAATGAACATTCGGGCTCCATAATATGCTGGTAAATTCTTGAGTAGCTGCAGATTTGGCTTCTCCTCAAGAAGGGCTCAGCTCCATAAGTAAGTAAGTAAGTAAGTAAGTAAGTAAGCTAACCAACCGCCGTTCACCTCAAAGAATAAATTTCTAATTATTATTCAGCCTTCCACGTTATTAATATATTAATTTAATTCTTTATTATTTATGTGCCAAATCAGCAGCCGCAAGGCCAATTACAGACAGAGCACAGTGTAGATACAAGTAAATACATTATGGACAAATACAATATAAAGCCAAGAAAAATTACAGGCAAGCACTGGAGGGGGAAAAATAATAATAATAATAATAATAATAATAGTAAAGAACGCAGCTGTCATAGTACCCTATTCCGGTTGTTATTTAAATATTAGTATTTTTTTATTGCTAGTGGGGTGGGACTAAGTACCTTGTACTGAGGCCACTTCTGGCCTATTGTACCAGCCCCAGATGATAGGTCAGGGTGACTGTGGAGCAATTGGTGGAATGAAGATTGGTAGGGGAAACCGAAGTACTCGGAGGAAATCTGTCCCAGAGCCACTTTGTCCACCACAAATCCCACTTTACTAGACCCAGGATCGAACCCGGGCCGCCGCGGTGGGAAGCCAACGACTAACCTCTTGAGCTATGGCGCGGCGTCTAAATATTAGTAACAAAATACACTTGTTATTTGAGAAATTAGCGAGTCGGTTAAACAGGAAATCAGATCCAGTTTATGTTGAAAATTGTAACTGAAAGAACAATATTAATAGGTTTCTGTAGTATAACAGAAAGTGTTTTAGGGTCCCAAGCAGAAATAATTTTTTGTTGGTTTAAATTGACGTATGTAACAAAGAAACAAAGTCTCTCAGAGTATATAATTTGTTCTTCTTTGAAAGGTTGTGTGAAAAAATGCATTTTTCAGCTATACGAGCTAGAAAACTTTCAGAAGTGGGTTAAAATTGAATTCGTAACTAAATGTTGACTGAAGATTATATTCATTGATCACCCGAGATTTTATTACATCTCATTCTATATTTAAATTTTACAGCACGGAAATGAATTTCTTAGTATTATGCCAATATATTTATTATATTCAAGAACGCAATTATTTTCTTATTATTATTTTAAATAGCATCTCACGTGTTTTATTTACTAGTTAACTTTTTTAATTTGATTTCACTTTCCTTTCGTCCAGATGGCGAAGCAGCGATCTATCAATGATTTACGAAATTTGTATTCTTGTTTATCTGCAACTGTCCCCTCCCCCGACACAGGAATAAGCCACGTAGTTCATAAACCACTGGTAACAGGTAGGGCAGTTTTGTTCTCACATAAGTATGCATCCATTCACTTTATATATTTATGTATTTTCAGCTGCAGTTGATACTGCACAGGCGTAAAATTAACCGCGAATATTTGAAACACCATGCGAAGAATTACGCCCGCACCGTCTTAGCGGGAAATTTAGCAAGCACCTTCTCGGTAATCTTCTGTTGCACCTCAAGGTAAGTTATGAATCCTTGTAGTTAATAGTTTAAGGTGATTCAGACAGCTTGACTGAGATTAAGGTTTCCATATTGGGAGCCATGTGATGTCTTACAAATTTTATACTCACTGAGACTCTTGTTTCAAAGCTTGAATTGCTGAGAATTAATTACTGAGGACGGAAAGCCAAGATACCTAGTAATAATTGCCTCTCGATCTCCTAATCGTAATCAGTCTGTTTACATACTGAGCTAGGCGGATCATCACCATAGGATAGTAGTAGATTGGCTGTTTACATACTGAGCTACGCGGATCATCACCATAGGATAGTAGTAGATTGGCTGTTTACATACTGAGCTACGCGGATCATCACCATAGGATAGTAGTAGATTGGCGTATAAATTAAACCACTGTTACAGTGTGTAAAAAGTTACTCGTATCCTGTTCACCTTGATCATCAGTGCAGGTCACTTCCATTTATATTTCAAAACCGATGTTAATGATGAATTGTTGCTAAGCAAAAACATATGTGAAACGAAAAGCGCTGTTTCATAACATGCCAAAAGAATTGATTCTTCTTGTAGGTTATCATAGAACATTGCCTTGGCAAGTTTATGAGTATCCTTCCCAATATTTTGTACTATCTTCAAGTTTTCTTAAGAAAAAGATGACCTTCGTGTTTTATCTGCCTGTTTGAATACATAGAATATTCTGACTCATATGTCCAGTACTACCATACTTCTTTATTTTTCTTATCTTCTACTGCAAAACTCCAACAACTCAAAGTGGTAAATGTCACCAAAATTTCGTACAATTTCAGTTACTCTTTTTCAAAGAAGTCTTCAAATTTCATACAATTCTATGGCTTCAGTACATATGCCGACTTTTTAAAAATTCTGTCGCTTGCTTAGAGTCTATAAGATTTGGTAGGAAGTGGTCGTGGCCTAATCAAGATAATAGCCTGACTTGTCCTAGAGGAAGTGAGGAAAACTACAAAGAACTCAGAATAGCCGGTGTCTCTGGCAATATTCTGAACAGTCACTTCCGGATTTAAAGTGTCAACGTTATGTCAACCCACTAGATGACTGAAACGTAGGAATTTGGGAAAGAACTGAACAGAAATACGTCATGTTCTACTTCAAGTTCTGTGGAAATATGTGAAACTGTTTACTTTTAGCGAGTTTCGTGGGACTTTGTAATCGTTCACAATAATAATTATTACGTTCATAGCTGCTGTGTGCTGAATACAAGCCCTGCCTATCCGGCTTATGATAGAAGGGTAAAAAGGATAGACGAAAAGGGGGTATGCGAGACCTGATGTTCTCATCGTGGTCGCTATGAAGAATACTACTTTTGGGATGTGACACCGTGTAGTCTGGTAGATGTTTATCGACATCTCGGAGGAACTTACTGCCTCCAGCTTCATTTTAGAATGATTCCTTCTAAATATCGATAATATTTACCAGACAAGACGGTGTGATGTCCCAAAATACAGTAATCTTCGAAAATGATGTTGCCTAAAATGAAAATATTCTTGTTTGAGGTTGGAATGTGAAAGGCCTTCTTAGTTTTTCTTTCTAATAAGGAGAACCAGACACAGACGTAAGAATAAAATGAAAAGTTGATTTTTGATCAATTGAAGATGTAGTGAGGTGAACCTTCCTGATCCCTGATGAATGTAATAACGATCAACTTTTTAACGGAGAACCTGAAGCCTGCAGTTGATCAATAGCAGTCAATCTGTTTGTCATATTTCCTAATTTTAAAGAAATATGTATAAATTGCTACGGAAAACCTAGCTAAAGCTTCTGCTTACTAATATAGTAGCAAAGCCTGAAGGCTCAACATCGCCATTCTACACGATCCTAAGACAGTTCAAATATACTGCTACGAGTATAGTGCTCTAATGAAAAAAAAAGAAAAATTAAAAAAAAAAAACAACCCTATGTTGAAGCTTAAGCTTTTGTTCAGAATGTGGATCTACAGAATTGCTTTGCTTTATTTTTTGTACGGGAATTAATTTATATGAATACTGTTGCTTTTTGTTTCATGTTTCAGTCCTGCGGAGCGCCAATTAAGTTCGCTCAGTCCATCTGTCCGTCCGCTCATTTGATACAACTCGATAACGGCTGAACAAATTTTCGTAAATTTTCATACAGGAAAAATTACGAAAAATTGCCTAGACAATTTTCACTTATATCGGACATGTTTAACATGATTTTACTCCAAACCTTCTCTGGTTTCTGCGTGTGTCTCACTATATTTTTGGGAGGGGAGGGGGCGGGAGAGAACAATATTTCCGACAAACATTGTATAGAAGAAGGAAACATACCTTTCATGTCTAGTAAACTTACTCCAGAAGTGTTGCAGCTATCGAGTTAATTGAATAAAATTTGTCTTTCGAGTGCTTCGAAATTTAATATTCAGCAATCAACAGCGGTCCCGAGAAAGGAACAGCAGTTGAGAAGAAGGAATTGAAAATAAAATAAGCGGCCTCCGTAGTCTAGAGGTAACGTTCACACCTCATGACTCGTGGTACGCGGGTTCAAATACCCGGCGGAGGTCGTCGAATTTTTAAGGGCGGAAAAATTCAGGGAACAAGTCCTCCGGGAGGGACTTTAAGCCGTGTGTCCCGTGTCGTAACTTTACGGCACGTAAAAGAACCTCACATCCCCAAAGGGGATCACTGAGCCAAATTCCAGGATGTTTCCCGTCCAACAATAGCCTCTAAGGCCTCTGATAGATGGGGGAAGCATTATAGACACCGCTAAGCAAGTGGCCGAACTCGCTTGCTCGGCGGGACTGATGGTACGCACCATTTATAGGTAGGGTAAAGAGACTGGTAGAATATCATAGAGGGAAGCACAATACATCAAACTGGTCGCGGTGCATGGGGAAACCCACCTTCTCTAAATAACTAACTAACTAAAATAAAATAAAATAAAATAATTTTTTGTGGATTAGGCTGCGATAAAATTGAATTTTCTTTATTCTTTTAGTGTAGCGCTTTCTTGTAATATGATATTGAAATATATAGGGATGTTGTAGTTTTAACTTCTTACCAATTTGATTATCGTAATCTAACAGTGAGCAGTTGCATGTGGATTTAATATTTATTCAATATAAAGGAAGAGTTTATCGTAGTCAAAATTATTTCGCCTATAATTCCTTCTGCCTAACTCTTCTGTTAACTGTATGTTCTAATTGTAGAGTTTTGTTATCATTATTATTATGGCCGCGCCATAGCTCAAAGGGTTAGTCGCTGGTTTTCCACCGCGGCGGCCCGGGTTCCATCCCGGGTCTGGTCAAGTGGGATTTGTGGTGGACAATGTGACGCTGGGGCAGGTTTTCTCCGAGTACTTCGGTTTCCCTTGCCAACCTTCATTCCACCAATTGCTCCACAATCACTCTCACCTATCATCTGGGGCTGGTACAATAGGCCAGAAGTGGCCGCAGTACAAGGGACTTAGTCCCACCCCACTAGCTGCAGAGCTACAGAGCTGCGCGCTCTGCCAATGTAACCCTTCTGTTATTATTCTGTAAAGTTTCAGATTATTTTGCAGCTCAGAACTCTCATTTGTTTTAGCCCAATATATATTTTATTCTATGAATTACTAAATTAATGGAATGTAATTTACATGACTCTACAGGAGACTGCTCGGCGGATTTTATCGCTATACAGTACTGTTTCTGCCTACAATGTTGAGTGCTTTTGCTGTAGTCTTGGAGCGACGGGAGAAAAAAGAAATTTATTTATGTTCATTAATTACCATGGTAAGTGATCTATTCCATTTTATCTTATTTATAATAAAGCCTTACAATTAGTAATAATTACGTTTGTTTCGTTAAGTCCAAACATTTGTTAATCATATTGATTTTGTACCCGTAATTTTCTCTGCATGTAAATAGGAGGCAGTTAGTAAATATTTACAATTTTACACTGATGAAGGAGCGTGGCCTACAGGACAAGTTCATTGACAACAGTTGCAAGAGAATTAGCAAAGTGTAAGTTAAATTAGTGGGAGAAGAATAGGCCAGATTGAGCATGTGTGACACTGAAAAAAAAGAGGGAATTATATATTTTATATGGAAATACTAGTGAGAATATTGACGGCTCCTCAAGAAGGGCTCAGCTCCATGAGTAATGTAATGAATAATACTAATGAGAATAATGAATGTAGTACAGGAGTTTTCATGCACAATAAAATCATATCAACAGTTAACAGGCCGGAGATTGTTAGTGATAGGATGCCATATGTGATACTAAGAAGTCGCTGGTGTGAAATAGTTCTGAATGTGTATGCCCTAATGGAAGGAGAAACTTGATGAGGACAGCTTCTGTGAGGAATTAGAGCGTGTATTCTACCATATCCCTAAACACCATGTTGAAATGTTGTTATGGGAACTCGATGCCAAAGTAGATAGAGAAGGTAACTTCACAGCGACAATTGAGAACGAGAGCTTACATGTAATTAATAGTAATAATAGAATTACAGTAGTAAATATTGACACATCCAAAGAACTAAGTGTTAATAGTACAGTGTTTACATATCGTAACATTCACAAATTCACTTGACCTCCTGATGGAAAAACACTATCTGGTGGTTGCAAATGTTGAGGAGGACTGTAGCCGAACCTCTCACCTTACATTCACCTCTCATTTTCAGATTTATTGGGATTAATATATTTTTTTTTTCCTGTGGCGGTACAGCCCCAATTTGGACCTAGGCCTACCTCCATGAACTTCTCTGTTCACTTCGGTTTTTCCAGATCTTACACATTGGGTAGGACTCCTTGGGCGGGTGATTACCTCGTCGCAAGGCCTCTACCTGTACACAAACACAGAAAAACGCACACATACAAACTAAACATTCATCCCAGGAGTGGGATTCGAACTCACGATCCCGACTTCCGAGCGAGCGAAGAGAGTGCACGCCTTAGACAGCTCGGCTACCGTGACCGGCAGGATTAATATTAGAAGGAATAAATTTATGGGGTGTGCGCCAATTCTCGATGTACTGCCATAATTAAGGAACGTAAAATAAATCTGAGCCGACGGACTAGGAAGTTAGATAGCATGAGAACCTTCAGGATCCTGCTGGCCAAAACTACCTGCATCAGCGGTAGCGAAAAATCATTTCTTCGCCACCGGAAAACACCGCGAAACACTTATAATGAGATAATTAAAAAGCATAAACAAAATCGTTGTTCATTTACGTAATTTTGGCAAACTCATAGTCCCAAATCTTGTAATTAAAATAGATTTTCTTTACAAAATTTTACTTATGTGAAATATCAAATTATGCACTTCAGTTTCGTTAATGACTTATAATCCTTCAGCTAAATTTTAAACTTTAATGTAGAAAATTAGTGACAGCGTGCAGCACACGTCTTCTCTAGTCTGAGAGATGACGCTAAGAAATCTTCAACTTCGAGAGCTAGCATTTCGGAAAACAATGCTGCAAACCAAAACGCCCTCTTTTTTTTCTGCAGAAAATACGTAATCTCCCAACCGATACGCTACATTCAATATGGACAATTATGTAAAAACTGCCTTAAGAAAATTTGGTTGGCTGGCACTTACAAAGTATTCTTTAATACTTGCAAAACGTTCAGCTTGGGAACGTGTCGCTTTCGAACTTCAATTTCGTAAACTTATGACTTCACAGAGCCTTCAAGTAGGCGATAAACTAGCGCCCTGGTAAAGCTATCACTATGACAGGCCATGGAGATCCATAAGGTTGTGAGACTTGAGGGTCTCACATTATCTAGACAATCGGCTCACAGTTGGCGGTAAGATTGTCAGCCTTACGCGCCGCCTGCCCTTTACATCCCAGGAAGATTCCTGGTACTCATTTTTGTTGGAGGCTAAGTCGACTCCAGGACCGTAGTGCGGCTGGAAGGATTAGGTCAATAACTAGCGCCCTGACATCTCGAAATTTCCATTGAATCATTGCATTGCCAGCGCAGTACAAAACAATATATTATAAAAGCCACAATCGTGGCTTAATTAATGGCCGAATATGCATTACACATAACAACGAAAACTCCGTGGCTCTAGTCTGCAAGCGAACTATACCGACCGAGCGACCGCCGCTTGTCGGCGAAGTTAGTGCCAACTTTAGCGGATAGAGGGTGTCGCGTGGTCAGCGCCACGAATCCCCACGGTCGTTAGTTTCCGTTTTCTAGACCGGAGCTTATATTTCCTTGAAATAGCTCCTCAATTGTCCTCACGAGGCTGAGTGGACCCCCGTTCCAGACTCACTACTTCTCAGAAAATCTGGTATCGCCGGGAATCTAACTCGGACCTCTGGTTCTGTAGCCAGGAACTCTGACCACTGGATCACAGAGGCGGTCACGGCACACATAAATTGTAACGAATTTTGGAGCCTTATTCAAAGATCACAGTTTATTTTTGAGGCACACTGATTGCATTTCTGTTCACCCAGCTGCACCTTTGCCCGTTTGTACGTAACTGTGGCAGCGTTCATACCTGCGAGGTCCCATGATGAATACGCCCACGTTCATTCTGTACAACCAGTAGGTCCTC